AGTTTCCGGCCATTTGGAGAGTGAATCAATGCTCATCTGGTCTCTGTCTCTGCCCTCTACCTTTCAAGTAAGAATAGAAAATCATTCAAGAAGTTTGTAAAAATTCAGGATACTGTGTCTGTACTGAGTATGTACAGACTGAGTATGTACAGACTTTTCTTGCATTATCCCTAAACAATGCAGTGTCACAATTGTTTCCATGGCATGCATTGTGCTTGCTGTTATCAGTGCTCTAGAGATGACTTAAGGGATCTGGAGGCTGTGTATGTGTTACATGCAGCTACTACCATTTTATATAAGGAGATTGAACAGTCACAGATTTGGGTATCTGATAGGGGTTCTGGATCCAATTCCCCACTGGTTACAAAGCATGACTGTACATGTTTATTTGCGCTGTAAAGTAAGATATAGGATGTGAATAAATTTGTATGTCTTACTCGGCCAGAACCTATTGTTGACTAAGTAAATGAATCTCCAATCTATGAAATAGTTATTTTGGAAATAGTTAACTCTTTTATACTCAATTTTGAAGCATGAATATAAATAATGAAAATGAATAATATGTGTGAAGAGATATGGTATATAGTAAAGTAGTAGAGAAATGGCCCTGTGACTTTCCACATGTGTCTCAAACTCATTTCAGATAAAAATATTTAGTCCCACTCATATTTGAGCATGTTCAATTCTGTGTTACTATGAGGTAGTTCCATGGCAGTCTGATAGTGTGCAGTTTCACTTTTGTTAGCGATTGCAGGATTTATACATAGCAAAGTGTACTCATCTTAGGGACACAATTCAATGGGTTTTTATCAAATAAATGCTTCCATGTACCTAACATGCAAGTCAAGATGTATGAGAGCATCTCCTCATTCCAGAAAATTCCATGGCGCTCCCTTTCACACATTGCTACCTTCAGTGATCAGCCACTGATCTGATGTGCCTTACTGGAATAATTTCACCTGTTTGTCAGGTTTATATAAATGAGATTATATATGGCTCTTGTGTGTGGTTTCATCATTCATCATGGTGGTTTTTAGGAATGCTGTAGCGTGACTATGATTTGTTGCTCAAACTCCTGCAGGAGTTTAATCTCCAAAATTTGGCATGTGGTAATGGAAACATGGACACTTAATTGCGCTGTGGCATTTAGAAGTGTGATTTTGAGAAGTGCCTAGGCTCAATCAAATTTGGTTGCAGTGATTAACCTGGGCCCCCCGTGATTAAATGCTGCTGAACTGACAAGAGGAGAGACAGACCTCATGTGCCTGAGCAGACACATGCTCTCCCTGTCTCTTGCCATGTATGCTTCGTACTGCTTTGGAGAATAATGGCATTAACACCTTCCTGATCTCAGACGGCAGGGCACCAGAACCCTGTACCAAAATGGAACCTCTTTGGTTTAGAGTTAGTCGGCCTCAGGTATTTTGTTATATGGTTAAAAAGCTGATTCATCCAAAGTTCACTCATGCTGTACCATATGTCAGTTTTTTCCTGTGTTACTGTGTTATATCCATTATATGAATATGCTGTGGCTTATTTGTCGCTACTTCTGTTGTGTACTTTTTCACCAGTTTCAGTTTTTGACTACTAAGCATGAAGTTTTGGTAAGCATTCTTTTCAAACCTGTAGTTAAGATTTTAAGTTATTTTCTTCAGCATCTCAAATTTTCCCACGGCCCTTAGTCAGCCACATGACAGTGTCAGCACTTGACCATCACTGGTCTGATTTCTATCCCCATGATTTTGTCTTTGTCTAGTTTTGGTTTGCCAGGATTTATTAGCAGAGGCTGTTTTTTTTTTTTTAATTTAGTGCTCAAATTATATAATAGCCAAATTATTTCTGTAAGTTTTATACTGTATAAAACAGTGCATTGCTCATTCCTCTTATTTCAAAGGAGTTTGAACTCCCTCAGAAGTCTTTCAAAACCTCTTTATTTCAGAATTGTTGCTCCTTTAACTTGATACTTTCATTTTCAACTTTATTTCTTAACTTCCCATTATGAAAGATAAGGATTTACTGTTTACTCCCTTCTAACTATACATCTTGCTGTTTTCTTAGTGCAGCTAATCGAATAGAGAGTTTGTCATGGATAAAATTTATTTTTTTTTCTAGTAATCATCATTTGAACTATTAAGCTTAGGTAGTGATGCAGCAGGGGCTATGGGAAACACTTATTTTGAACAATGTGTTCTTTATTTTTATTAAAGATTTATTTATTTTTATTGCAAAGTCAAATATACAGAGAGGAGGAGAGACAGAGAGGAAGATCTGTCTGATGATTCACTCCCCAAGTGACCTCAATGGCTGATGCAGCACCAATCCAAAGCCACGAGCCAGGAACCTCCTCCAGGTCTCCCACTCGGAGGCAGGGTCCCAAGGCTTCAGGCTGTCCTCGACTGCTTTCCCAGGCCACAAGCAGGGAGCATGGATGGGAAGTGGAGCTTCTGGGATTAGAACCAGTGACCATATGGGATTCCAGGGCATGTAAGGCAAGGACTTTAGCCGCTAGGCCATTGTGCCGGGTCCTTGAATAATATGTTCTTACAGCAATTGGGTTTTTTTTTTTAGCTTCCCCTGGTTATGTTCAAACAAATTAGGTACTTTCTCAGTTCAGTTGTTGCTTGGATTCATTCCTCACAGAACCGTCTGTCATCCTGCCTCTTGTCGGATGGGGCACGCAGGCCAGATGTATCTCTTTCTCTGTGAGCTCCTTCATCATCTATCTCAGCGTGAGAAAAATAGGAATGGAAGGAGTTTAACAGAGCTCTGGATAAGAGGGATGCATAAATTTGTACCTTGATTCACTTTATCCCACTTATTTATATTGAAAATCATGAATTCACGTAGACATCTTTCTTTGAACTCAACACCACGGTATTCGCTTCCTGCTTTTCCCTGCACTTCCTGTATTTGTAGTATATGTATGTGTTTGACCAGCTGCTCTGTGTGTAACCCGTCTTCCCTCTTCTTTGCCATGCTACCTCCACAGGGAGAGACCTTTCCTCTGGATTTGATCTGCTACTCCTTGCAATCTATCATCCCTCCTGCACATCCACTCTTTGGAAGTCTCCTCACCCAACGTGCGCCTTACCACCCTGTGCCTCTCTGTGGAGTGCCCCTTGTGCTGCTTAGTCTGTGATCTGCCATGCCATTGTGCTCCCTCCTCACAACCCCTCCTTGTCAATACCCAAGTAGCTGTATGCTCCCCGCCTCCCGACATACACACCTTTGGCTGCAGGGCTCAGCTCATTAATAAGACCAAGCGACACCTCCCAGTTCCTTTGCCCATTCCCCAAGCTTTACTTTTATTTCAGTCTTCTACACCCAAGACTAGTATTGATCACCCATTATTTTTGCTTAAGCCCAGGAGCTCAGTTCCTTTGAGTCTCTGCATTGCCCTCTTCATTGATGGCTGATTCCAATGAAACCAGCAGCCACTTCTGTGCCTTCCAGATGTATCCTGTGTCTTTCCATCTCTTTGTTAGCCCTGTATCAGTCAGTCTCCTCTCAGGGCTTCCTCTTTATACACTATATCTCTGCTTCCCCAGTCCGTTCTTATAAAGCAGCCAGCATGCTCTTTCCCGAGCCGCGGGCATAAAAATTTTGAAACCCTTCAGTGCTGCCCACTGTACGTACCAAAGAAAACCCCAATTCCTCCATGGCCTTTAAGACCAGTATCTGTGGTAATGAATCCTGGCTGCAAATCAGCATTGGCAGGGGAGCTTTTGAGAAACACGAAGTCTGGGCCCCACCCAAGTCCAAGTTAAATCAGAGGATCCAGGACGTGGGCCAAACCACAAGGGTTTTACAAGTTCCCTGCCTGGACTAATGAACATCCAGGGTTGAGAGCCATGCCTCCTTTACCACCACCTCTTTGCCTCCTCCCTGTCCCTCTCTCACTTTAAGCTCTAGCAGTTACGTCTTCTACGTTTGAAGTTCAAGCAAACTCTTGCCTCCAGCTTTCTCACTTGATTTGTTTCTGTTTGGAGGTTTCTTTATACAATTCTTTCCATTGGTGCTCCCCTTATCTAAAGGATAATATTGGGTGACCCATCACTGTCAGTAAGGGAATTCTCCTTGATCGTGTCTTTCTTTCTCCTGTTACTCCAGATCATCTTGTTGATGTGTGTGTATGTGTGTGTGTGTGTGTGTATGATCTTCATGATATTGCTTGTTCTCTATCATCATGGTGCTTGTATTAGCACTTAGTAAGTATTTACTGAATGTCTGGTTATGGAGGGAAAAAAGGCCAGGAAATAGGTACTGTTCAGTGGGAACAAAAACATGCATGGTAGTAAGGGGGACATTTGGATGAGCAGGTGAAATGGAGCAGTGAGAGCCTTGCCTGACAGAGATTATAAGAAACCAGCTGGGGACGAGTGTTGTGACGCGGCGAGTTAAGCTGGTGCCTGTGACACTGACAGCCCATATGGGCACTGATTCATGTGCCAGCGCAGGGTCCCAAAGCTTTGGGCCATCCTTGACTGCTTTCCCAGGCCACAAGGAGATAGAGCATGGCTGCTGGGATTAGAACCGGCACCCACATGGGATCCTGGCGTGTGCAAGGTGAGGACTTTAGCCGCTACGCTACCGCATGGGGCTCAAATTTTTAGAAAATGTGTATCCGTAATAAAAATCCATAACCATTCATGTAAACACATGTAATGACTGCAGAATCAATGTTAAAATGTTGGGCTACATCTTGTCTTTTGGGAGGTGAGGGGCAATTCTTCGCTTTCTCCCAAGGATTAGAAGCTGGGATTGGTTCTAAGTGATTGTTAAGAGACAATCAATTAAGAGACTTCAGCTCTCAGATAGATCTGGATTCCTTTTGGTTAGAGAATAGACTGTTTATTCTTACTCATCTTTGCTGATTTTCCCTTGGGCCTCATTGCAATGTTGCTAACATGACGTGAGAAATGTATACTGCTGATACTGTTATGACAATCTAGATCTTCTAAAACATCTAAAACATTTTGTGTTCTCTTTTGCCCTAACAGGTTGGTACAGAGGATATACCCTTCAAAATAAATCGAAAAAGGTATGGCTTTTGTTTTTTAGATTCTGTTGGAAATCTGCCTCCTACTTTGGTACTTTGCTGTTCTCTAAGAGGCCTTACGCTGTATCTGTACCTCATTTGCGCTCTCTTGAATGCTCTGCTTTGGAACTGGAGGCAACTGCTCTGACCTCAGTGCTTTAGTACAATAATGTAAATCCCATCAAGGAGAAGGTCCCAGAGAACTTCTTGCTGTGTGTCCCTCAAGCTAGCCAAGGTGCTAACCCAGTCACACTGCCCTGGTGGGACTCTGTGTGTCAGGGAGGCTCTCCTTGTATCTGTACTTTACCCCCAATTCTGAAATCCCAGAACTACAGGGTCTCGCTCTTTCTGCTTGATTCATTCCTTCATTGCAAAACGCATATGCCAGAGTAGTGGTTTTCAAAGTATGAGCCTCACTGCCCCACTAATAAATCATGAAATCAGCACAGTGGGAGTATAACCAATGTGTCCCCCAAATCAAAGTTGAATGCTAACGGAGAAAGTAGATGCAATGGGAATGATTGTTTGCCAAAACTTTGTTTTAGTCATTTGTCTATATTTTCTGTTTTCTATGTAGTTAAGCGTTGTCTGAAAAAAAAACCCAACTCTTACTATTCATTGTGGGCAAAGTTTGGAAAATATTGACCTAGATAGCTCTAGACAGTTCCTCTTCCCCAGTGTCAGAGCTGCTAATCACCAAGCTAAAGGAAATCTATTAATTACGTTAACACCACACTCAGTTTATTTTAGGTCTTGCCAGCGCTTTCCCTTTGACGGTGCTCACTAGAGCAGCATGGCATGTCAGCACTTTCTTTTCAAAGTGCAGAGTTGATAGGACCTTATTATTTTGCAATTAGTTCACATGCCAAATAGTGCATTAGGAAAAGGGAGGGGTGGAGGGGAGAATATTTTGGAGCTTATCAAGAGGGGAGTGGAAAAAAAGAAGCCTGCAGTTTTATTCTTCAAAGTCAGCATGAGCTAGAACCAATCCTGTGTAAATGGGCTAATGTTGGACAGTCAGTTCTTAAGAGCACAGGACCCTATCTACAAGGGATAGGCTATTGAAAACCGGCACTCTTTTCAGTAATTGATACATATATGTGTAGACACCTGCTTTTTTTAAACTCACAGTTTGATATTCCTGTAAAATAAATCAGTGTTTACATGTCATGCAGGTATCAGTTCCCAGAATTTTGGGCCATTTTCCTTCTACAACCCCTCATATTGAATTTTACCTACCCATAATTTGCTTTTTTTTAACCACATAATATTTTCAGCTTCATAATTCTTTGTTTCATCTCTTGCTGATATAGATTTCTCTGGGACTTCAAATAAAGACCTAAGATAGTAAACCTGTTAGAATGAACGAGAGCCTCATCTAAAGCGAGGACTTTCTTTCTGGTCCTTTAGTGACACAGCACTTGGTGTGTGGCCACTTGGGTTCTCTGACACTATCACTGTTGATTTTACTTCCAGTTGTAGAAATGGCAATTATTTCAGAGCTCTATCAGAGCTAATGAGTTTGATGTTCTTTATTTGTCGAAGAGATTACTTTCGTAAAGTTAGTTTTCTATCCTTTTTTGTAAGAGTTATTTTTTAAGCACACAAAAACCATTCTTTGCCAAATTATATGAATGTAAGGACAAATGAAATACTTAATTTTTAGCTGGCAATGTCAATCATATTGAAACTGCATGTGAGCTGTGAATCTTCTTTTCAGAGTGTCTGCAGTGTGTAATGATCCTCTTAAGCACAGAGAAGCTGGTTACTGAGGCATCCTGTGATTTCCCAATATATCAAAATCCATCAAGCTAGTGGTGCCTTTGTTGTCTGCTTTGAAAAGCTGATGAATAGGCTGCCCTGCTAGGATCTAAATGATAAGTTCCAGTTGCATCTTATTTTTTTTGTTTCATTAAAGCATTATTAGAAACATTTTTAAACTTAAAACTTTATTCCTAAAGGAGTCATTTGATTAAGAAAGTCGCCTTCATCATGGTAATGAAGAAAAATGCCATAATCAATGAAATTATGACACAGGCAAAAGCCAGACATCTATTTGTTGATTTTTTAAATTTAAAGATCTTTGTTATGAATAAATAGGGGGGAAATTAGAGGGACTTGAGAGACATTTGCTCTGAACTGTGCTCAAGTTTTGACACCCCTTCATTAAGAGACTCAGCCCATTAGAAATGCTGTTCTAATACCAGTCCCCCATTTTGCAGTCTTTAGGGAAGGAGCTCTTTGAAAGGCCCATTGTTTTAATGGAAATGCTTGGTGTCAGTTATAAGCCAAGGTAGCCATTTAGAGCGGTAATGAAAGGAGCCTGTGGCTTTACAAATTGAAGAAGCCAAGAGCTTTTCAAAAACTAATTATTGATCCTGGCAGGATTGTGGGGGTGTGGATAAAGACAGCATCTAGAAAAATCATTAATTTTTTTTTAAACTCAAGTGAGCAATTTGCATTGAGAAGGAAAAAGGCAGAGCTGAGAGGGAAGCTGTAAATCGGAATTATCTTACCGTAGTTTACTGTGGCTGTCTGTGTTTTGTAGCAGCACAGAAAGTGCTCAGATTTACCAGCACAGTGAAATGGCTCTGTAAGGCCAGATGCTAGCCTGGAGAAACAGTGGTTCAAAGCATCCGAGAGGTAATACAGTACAATAAAATAAATACTCCTTAATATGAAGTCGTCATGTTAACCCAGTATGCATAAGCTGTTTATTGATCTGCCCAGGTGTTGTAGAGTTTGCCACTTTGTTTACACTCCTGTCTTTGTTTATATTTCTGTCTTGGAGGTTAGTAGCTACTAGGTTATTAAGTGGGACATCACCAGATTAGAAAGGCATCAAAATTCTAGTTGTTTCTTTACCTTCTTCCCTGGAAATATTCCCTGCAAGAATATTCACTTGTACAAACAGTGATACGTCTTGTATAAATCCCAACTATAGGTGCTAAGACTGTGAATTTTTGACCCCACAGTCTCCCTAAAATTGTGAGAAGAAACACATCACATAGCACCTGTCTGCTTCACCAGTTTTAAATGCATAGTTCAGTGGCGTTAAGTACATTCACATCGTCTTTCTCCCATCACCTCCCTGCATCTTTCCAAATTGAAACTCTGCAGTCTTAAAATAGTAACTCCTTATACTTTTCTGCCCTCTGTCCCTGGCAATCCCCATTGTGCTTTGTGTCTTTATGATTTTGATAATTCTATAAATCTTATATCCATAGAACCATTATCTGGCCTTTTGTGATTGACCTACTCTACTCAGGAGAATGTTTTCAAGGCAAATTCTCAATGGTTTTCTTCTCTGAGAAATGACAATCAGCAAGTTATTGATTGACTGAGCTCAGCAGACAGAGGAGAGTTCCACAGTTCCTTCAGTACCCAGGAACCAATGTGGAGCATTGGAACTCCAGAAATCAAATCCAAGTAGATTTACACACATTTTGAAGTTCATTTTTAACTGATTAGTTTTCTATAATCCACTCTACCCATGATGAAAGAGCTCCAGGTCTGTGTTTGTGTTCTTGGTTTTATCAGTCATGAATTTTGGATAGTGTACCCCAAGCCTGTCCATGCCACAGAGTGAGAAGAAGCCACGTGCTTTCTTGGTTTCTTCTGCCTTCCTTTACAGGAAGCAGCTTAATCTGAACTGCCTTTGGTGTTTCTTCTTTTATTGACAAGGAATGAAAAGGGAGAAAGGATATTGTGTGCAAAACTGTAGTACATGAGCCTGGACACAAGACGCACCCGAGTTGGCATTCATTTTGTGTCCCATCTCTGAGTGAATTAAGGATCACCAGGAACATAGGCATCTTGTACCACACTCTTCCAGGTGCTGTGACACTCCCCCATGCATTTCTGTCGTCAGTCACCCAAACATGTAATGTCCATGTGGTTCATACCCACTCCTCCGGGAGGAAGTGGAGAGCTGTTGAACCCATGGTGCTTTTCCTGATTCTTCCAGTTTGACAGTCAACATACCATAGGGCAAATATTGTCTTTCCAGGTGGCATCTCTTCTGCTGCTTGATAAACACATGAATCTGAAAACACAGTTTTTGTCTACTCATTTGGTCTCCTTTTTTTTCATTGGTCTGGGCCTTAGCAAAAGTGCTCCTTAGGGAAGTAGAAGGGAGAGCAGTAGGAGTCTATGATGTGTTAAAAACAACCAAGTAAGTAACACTCGGTGATTTGCGGTACATTGAATATAAGTGAAAGTGCTGAGAAAAATTACTTGAGAAAATTAGCATATTGTACCAGCTATTGAGTCCTATACCTCCCTTTATCGCATTCATTAAATGAGACCTAAAGCCACAAATATCTTGTAGCAGATAGAAACTTAGAGACTGTAGGGATTATTGCAAACCCAGACACAGGTGTTCCCATTCATTCTGTATCATACATGGTCTTTATTTTGGGCTGAGGCTTTTTATGTTCATATAACCAAAGTTCTTTTCTCTACAGGGTATCTTCCCTGAAACATATATCCATTTGAAAGAAGCAACTGTGGAAGATAGAGGGTAAGATCGCATGTAGGTAGACTCTTAGAAAATGATGAAGCTGTAAGATCATCATTAAACAGAGCCTTATATCCATTCATATTGCTCTCATCTTGTCAATTGCAGTTCTCCTCCTATGAGAGATGAATTAATAAAAAAATACTTTTCCTGATATAATTACTTCCTCAATCCAGTACTCTTTCTGTAATTGTTCCTCCCTGAGATCTTTCCCCAGAATGGTAATGACAGAAGTGATGACCTAAGGGCCTTGGCCTCCCTCTTGCAGTTACAGCTTGCTCAGTGTGTGTGTGTGTGTGTGTGTGTGTGTGTGTGTGTGTGTAAACAGTTTGTGGCTCTTGTGGTTAAATCCTGAGTGTTTCGTAGTTTTGGATCTTTGAGAATTAGATGAGTACATTACGGCTTGCATTTATCATCTCTGAACAGTGGGCAGGTCAGTTAGCCCCAAGGACACCACTGTGTTTCATATTGGTATGTTCCACTGAACTAATGTGTATGAATGTACTCTGCAGATTTAAATCTATTAAGTCTATGGTATTCTTATTTCTTGCTCCCATCTTATGTGCTCTGGATAGTCTTTTCTTTGGGGTAGCTAGGAAGAACGATTTATTCAGCTGAATAGGGAGACAGGAGTTGCTGCGTTCATTAGTCTGTGGGTGGGAGGACTCGGGAGGCAACAAGGAGCATCTGGAATAGGACTGCCTGCAGGAGTGACAGAGAGGGTAGAGGTGGGGCTGAGGGACAATCAACTGAACCCCGGAGTCACACAGAAACGGGAAGGAGCATCCTCAGCTTGCAGTGAGAGGTGGCAATGGTACCTAAGTTCACATAAATCTTCAGTGGCACAGCCAGGACCAAAAAGCCAGGTCTTTATTGCACTGGCAAACAGATGATGGAGAGGCCTTTTCCTATTAAGGAGAGTTGACCAATAAAATGCAGATTTCCCAGTTAAGTTTGCAATCCAGATAATAATGGAGAAGTGCCTTAACTTCTAAAGGGTTACATCTCAATAAACCCATCCGAAGTGGGTATGTATTTAATGTACTTAGCCTAACAAACAGTGGCTTAAACAGCCTGCCTTAAAAATTCTCAGAATAGTTGCATTGGGCTCATATAGAAAAACCATCTCACACAAAGCATATTTTAAGCAAAGTGTAATTGGTTGAACACTATACTCACATTGTTATATGACTCTACCCTCAGACAGTTGTAAAACTGAAAAATTGAAAATTAAGTTACTATAAGTTGGAGACTATAATTTTTCATTGTGTGTCCCAGATATCTTTGAGTCATACATATTCTCCACAACTCCCTTAATCTGACCGAAATGTAACTTACCTGGGCAGTCGTACCATGGGTCCCCATGTGTTTTCTTACTCTTGCTCTCTCATTTTGCTAATCGTAAAAGTGCTGGAGAAGACTTACGTGAATGAGTGTAATACCTACCTTTTTGAAGTCTATTGTAAGGAAGTAAGGATTTGGGTGAATGTACATTTTTACTGTACTTTGAAGCAGCAAATAAGATGAAAACCCAGGGCCATTCTAGAATGGAATACTGCTCTGGAGCTGCAAGCAGGTCCTGGGGCCTCACCTTTCCAGCCTGCCCTCTTCCCCCTCTTTTCCCAGTTTAAATAGTTGCTTGGCAGAGACAGCTTAAATGACAGAAATTTCTGCTCCCAATTCTGAGAATCACTAAAGTCATCCTGGCATGATAATTGAGGCAGCTGGAGAGAACCAAATTGGGAATCTGGGGGTGAGTGATTGTCCCAAGCAAAGAATATGCCACTTGAGAGCACACATACCCTTTTTTGGAGTGCCTGGGTTAGCTCTGCTCTTGGTTCCATCTTCTTGCCATGTGTGTTCTGGGGAGCAACAAAGGAATGGCTCACTAAATCATGTCCTGCCACTCTCATGAAGACTAATTGAATTCTGAGGTCCAGACTGGGCAGTTGTCTTTGCATCCCAAATAAACAAGAAAACAAACAGATAGAAGAGAGGTAGAGGTTGAGCATGTACCCATCCAGTGCAGAGACTCAGTTCATTTGGGTGGGTGGGATGTGCTCTCCTCAGTTCTCTCCATTATTGGATGCTTAGATACCACAAAGGCTTCCTTCCCCGCCATGTGCAAGTTTTGGTTTGTTTTAAGGATGAGCAGTTCCATTTCTGCCTTCGAGCTCTAGGGAATATCCTAAAAGCTTGATTAAGAATTGTAACTATGGGAGAATCAAGATGGTGGAACAGGGTAAGGACACATTTAAAAGATGGAGAAATATTAGCCAGTGTGAAGCAGAGGGGGCACAATCCAGGAAATAGAGCACAGAACAACAGTAGAGCAGTACCTGGAGACTGACAGACACAAGAAAGCAGCCAAAACAATGGTGTGGTGTTGCAATGACTCCAGTGGCATTCAGCAAATGGCAATCTGAACTCCACAGGCAGCCAGAACTCCACCAGCAACAAGGTGGGAAGGGATGTTTACCAGGAGCTCTGGAGGTGAACCCAGGCAAAGAACTGCCCATCCTGATGGTCTGTTTGATTTGACCAGGAACAGAGACAGAGCAGCAGATTCCAAACAGGCAGTGTGGGAACAGGGTGGATTTCATAGTCCAGTCAGTCTCCTTGAACCATATTGAGCACCATTTTGTTTAAGGAGGCAAGGGCTGTGGATAGTACTGCCCATGCACTGAGCTGGGAGTGAACTGATTTGTAGCTCAGTGAACTGCAACAACGTGGCATCCTACAAGTGCCACCCAAGACAGGTCCGGGGAGCCCTCAGACCTGATGGCTATCAGATCAAGAATTCTTGTAGTGGCATATCAGGCACCATTTCTTACAAAGTGGCAAAGAATTTAAGACTGCAAGGGATAACAGTGAGCTCTGCATGTGCTGAGCTTGGCAAGAATTCACTGAACTAAGTGCATTGCGCTGGTCCTACAGGAAAATAATATTGACTGTGGCATGATACAGGTGAGAATTGGTCTGTGTGGCTCTCCGACCTAACAGCCAACAGGTTCTGGCAAGATCAGCACCACCAACAACCTAGCTATATAGGACTCCTAGAGTCTTCCTAATCCTGGAACCTACTCCAACTGGAAGTGGGAGAAAGACTGTACAGACAACGGTACAGCCTCAGCATGGTATCACAGGAGGTGGAGAGTGATGAGCCAGGAGCTGGGGCTATGAAGACCATGGTAGAAATCTAACCTGGACTCGCTGGAGGGAGTGGCACAAGTGACTGCAAACAAAGAGCCGTGTACCAACTGTAATAACTAAAATCAAACTGTAGACCTGTGGGTGACAGAGCTTAGAAACCTGCTCCAAGGGGAAGAATCTGATAACCAGAAGTACAATGACCAAGAGCAAAAGAAGAGACAGAGGCACAATGAATATTACTGAACAGAACAAAATCCTTTGTCAATCTCAGAGTTAACTGAGGAAGAATTCTAGAAAATGGAGGATACAGAATTCAAAACACTTATTATAAAACTTCTTATTAACAACAAGAAGCACATATAGCAGGCATTCAAGGAATTCAAGGAATATGGCGCACTGGAAATGAACCAAATGAAAGCTGATATGTCAGAAATGAAGAACACAATGGAGCAGATTAAAAGCACAATGGAAAGTCTCCAAAATAGAATGAAGGAAGCAGAGGAAAGAATCTCAGAATTGGAACATATTTCCTGTCAGCAGGGGGAAACAAACAAAAAGCTGGAAGCAGAGCTGGGTCAGGCAAAAAGAAATATTCAAGTATTGAAAGACACTCTTAAAAGGCCTAATATAAGAGTTATGGGAGTTGCAGGAGGTGCAAAAAAGAGAAGCTGGGTTTATAAATGTATTTAATGAAATAATAAAAGAAAATTTCCCCAGTCTAGAGAAAGAATTGGAAAACAACATCCAGGAGGGGCACAGAACTCCCAACAGGGTTGACCAAAAGCAATTTCACCATGACACAAGGTCATCAAACTCTCTTCAATCGAACATAAGGAAAAGATCATTAAACATGCTCATGAAAAAGATCAATTGACATGTAAAGAACACCAATTAAATTCACAGGAGACCTCTCACAGGAAATTCTACAGGACCACAAGAGAATGCAGCAACATATTCCAGATTCTAAAAGAAAAAAATTGTCGGCCTAGGATAACATACCCAACAAAACTTTCCTTTGTCTTTGAAAATGAAATAAAATTCTTCCACAGTAAAGAAAAGTTGAAAAAATATGCCTCTTCCAAACCTGCCCTACGAATGATACTTAAAGGTTTTCTTGACAGAGAAAAGGAATAGCGCCCACTCAAAACCTAAGGCAAATGTGAAGAACATCCCAGTAAAATAACAACAGAAGACTAAATCAATGAACAACCCATTGCTAAAATGACAGGGCCAAATTACCACCTATTGGTATTAATGCTGAATGTAAACAGCTTAAACTCATCATTCAAATGTTATAGATTAGTAGACTGGATTAAAATACAAACCCATCCATTTGTTGCCTGCAGGAGACAACATTTCACCAACAAAGATCAATGGAAACTGTATCTCATGGATTTTGATTTTTTGTTTGTTAGTTTCATCTCATCTTCTGATTAAATTCTTCAGTGACTCATAGATCATTCTTAGCATCATTTTCTTCAAGAAGGTTCTTGATTTTCCTTTTCATTTGTTCAGCAACACATGAGTCATTCAGTAGCGTGTTATTTAACTTCATGGTGTTGTTTATTTCTTTTTTCTCCCTTATGTTGATTTTGTATTTTGGCTTTTCATTTAAAGGAATGTATAGTCACTATGTAATGAAAACTGTTATATCCAGATGTGAGGATACAATGCAGTATGCATCTCTTACTTCCAGACAAGGATGAACTCCCAATGAAACTGTTTACTATATCTTGACAATAGGATGCTGGACTCTGCCATTGTCCATGAACACAATGATGGACATATGACTGTGTATGAAGAACCATGGTATAGCAGTCATATAGGGGAGCTAAGTGAGGGCCAGAAATTGGGGAGAGGATAAGAGAAATCCCAGGGCCTATGTAACAGTGTCATAAAATGATAATAATAAAAATAAGTAAAATAGAAAAAAGAGTTGTAACTTTGATCACCCCACAGAGAAATGAGTGTCTGCTTGGTTCACCATAGGCAGAACGAGACCGTGATTCCTGGCGAGCTGCCACTGGTGCAGGAGCTTACGTCCACTCTGCGAGAATGGGCCGTCATCTGGCGCAAGCTCTACGTGGTGAGTTTCCTCCTGGACTGAGATCCCGTGGCATCGTTTTGGGCTTTCTGCTTGTCTGTTGTGCTGCAGAGCCATCCTGTGCGTGAGAAACATCCTCACTAGAACCACACAATGATGATAAAAAGGAGACACTCCCTTCCTCTGTTAGGTCATTGATATGAGAACATGGAAGAAGTGAGAATAATTGTGAGGTCAGTCTTTTCTCAACTGATACACGTGCTGGCTGTGAATGTCATACTGAGAGTAATAACTGCAAAGGCTTAGGTATTCCTTCCTTAGTGCCAGAAATTGAATCCTCACAATATTACTATAAGGTAGGTACAATTCTTACGAATTTATTAATAGGAAACTGGAGGGATCTGCCGTGGTCTTAGTTCCTCTGTGCATTTGAGTGAATATAGCTCTGTGACTGTTTCCACAATGAACTTCTGAAGGTAGTACTTTTGATTCATCTCGGCCAGTGTGACCCACAGACACAGGAAATGGATTGAGGCTAAACCGTGTCCTAAGAGTCTGCTCTTTGGCGCAATCTTTTGAGTGTTCTTTTTTACTGTAGTGGCTTGACCTCAGAATGCCACTCGAGTATGTCAGTTCATTAGGCAACCACACAGAACCAGTACATGCTTGCTCTCCATGATGAACCGTAATCATAGGCTGTATGTATGTTTGTATTTAGAATCCAACAAATGTAACATTTGGTAGTATAAGACTGATAATTGCTAACTTGCAAGTGGCCCAGAATATTCAGAGTCTGCTGACACTAAGCCTACCTCATCTGCAGTTCAGGAAGCTACTTTCTTAACTCTGGAATCCACAAACACCGCTTTCTAAAGTTCTCTCTTTCCTGAAGACCCCCTGGTGAGCATTGCCGGATCTCATTTTGTAAGCAGCTTCCTGACTCCCATGGCTGATGGTGAATTCCTTTGATGCTTGTTTGTTCTCTTGTTAAATGGTGGATGAGTTCAATGAGGTGGTAGGCTAGACAGACTCAGTGCCCTGGTGCCCATTCTCTTTTCTTTATAAGGCTTAGTTGATTCAGTTTTCTGTTTAGTCATCTGTCAATCAATTGTGAAAATCCAAACTTTTTCTAACAAGGTATCTTTCAAAGATATATTTCTTATTTGAAAGGCAAAATTATACATAGAGAAGATATAGAGAAGGAGAGACGAGAAAGAGAGCTCTCTCACTTACTGGTTCACTTGCCAAATCACCACTAGGACCAGAGCTGGGCCAGTCTGAAGCCAGGAGCATCTTGTGGGTCTCCCTCTTGAATGCAGGGACCCCAGGATCTGGGCCCTCCTCCTCTGTCTTCCCAGGCCATTAGCAGGAAGCTAGATTGGAAGTGGATTAGCCAGGACTTGAACCAATGCCCACATGTGATACTTCTGCTACTGAGAGAGGTTTAGCTCGCTATGCCATTTCACTGGCCACAAGAAGCCAGTCTTAGAAATTTATCAAAACACCCCATTCTAGATCCTTGGTACTAAAAGTTGTTATGAAAGATCATTGTAGCACTATATCAAGAGTTCATTTTCATTCAAGGTTGTTTCCCAGGATGTGTCACAACAGTAGAAATCACCAGGACTTGTGGGAAAACACATGTTCTTGGCTGCCTTCCCATGACCTGGAGGCCTTGTTGAAGTCCTTTTTCTTCATGATGTGTCTACTGAACACACCAATCCATATTATCTCCTGGACTGTGGGAACACTCATGGCTGAACCTGTCATTGACTTGTTTGTGTACTGCCTTGTAATGAAGATGATCTTTTGATCTCTTGATGTTAGGTGGAGGACCATGCTCTCGGTTCCTAAATCACCAGCTCTAGGAAGATAGAGCTGACAGCTCTGTGGTCAGCATTGATCATCTTGCACTTATACCAAAAGCACTCTGCAGTTCTGGTACATCGATTGCTCAGTGATAGATGTAACAAAGTTGATGGATGAGGAATTAGATATTCATGAGCTGCTTCCTTAACATGCTCTTTCTACAAATTGGTGAGCAGTGAAATGTATACTCCTAAATACAGGTTGCACATCCCTAATCCAAAATTTGAAACTTTTGGAGTATACATGTACCACAAGTGGAAAATTCCTTCCCTGGTTTCTAATGAAGCTGTTTCAGGCACAAAATTATGTAAAATGGTGCCTAATATTACTTCGGGCTCTGTATTTAAGTCGTCTATGAAGCATAAATCAATATGGACAAGTATTCCAAGACTCAGAATACTCTGAAATCAAATCATTTGTGATCCCCAGCATTTCAGAGAAGGAACCGATACTGGACAAGTAGGCTTTCCAGGTATGATGTATCAGAATGGATGGTATGAACAGGGTGGGTTGTTCTTTCTGAGACGTTACTGTTGTGCTGAGATTACTGCCTATATTTTTAGACATCTGCACACAAATCTACACATAGTTGTATCAGATCCATCTTTGACTAGAACAGAGATCAGTGAGTAGAGGTGGAAAAAGTCTCATGTGTTTGTGCTGTCAGTGTCCCTTAGTTAAATGGTGATACATGCTTGTGAAGGATTTCCTGTATGGGAAAATTTCACTGTTTAATAATAGAATTAGGTTTTAAATTATCAGGGGGTACCATTGACAACAACACCCAAGCCCTCTAAGAGGACAGCACATTTCTCACTGTAATGTGAGTCTTTTATAAGATGGCTGTTGATGTGTATGTTTCTATAGCTGTTATATAGTATGCCTCTATAGCTGTTAAAATTGAATAAAAAAACATTCACGGTGGGATTTCTTAATTAGCAAGATTTCCAAAAGCAGTTTCTTGATACATGTGCATCCATTAAGGAATAATCCATTTAAAATGGGTTTGTCTCTCTCTCCCCCCTCTCCCTCTTTGTCCTTCATTCTTTTTCTCCACCCCTCCACCCCAACCCCATGACTCTTTTAAGGTGTTCTATGACAGTTCATTTCAGGCAGAATTTCTGACTTCTCAAAAAAATTTCATGTCAAAGTACCAAACCTCAAATATGTTCTACTGGAAAAAGCACCCAGAAGTCTACTTTTCATGCCCTGTGCCCATACACTTCTCTTGGAGCATTTGTTTTCTGCTCTGGTATATAAGTTCCTTTTAGTCTGTATAAAGACAAAAGCATATTTTACTGTTATGCAATAATATGTGGATTATTTCTCTCCTGTTCTCTTCCCACAGATTCCCACCAGGTATTCTGTTCTATCTCTTTAGAGGCACGTTTTATCTCTAAAATGCATTTTCTGATTCTTTTTCCCAGTTCATCAGAAATTCATATTATGAATTCTGTTTTATATGAGGGGAAAATGCCATCCACTCCCCAGATTAAACCCAGCCATGTTGGCACTAGTTATTACTCAAGAAATGAATGGTACTTGTCCAGCTGGGATTTATTTTCAGCAGAGAGCAGTAACTACATGAACTACTCCAAGCAGAAAGAGAAGGGCAGATGGGTGGAAGGGCAAAGGTTGATGAACAGGCACTCAGGTATAAACAGAAAAAAAAAGAATGTCTAGAGGGCAGTGGTGCTGCCCTGTAAATATGTATGATTTGTATAAGTCTGTTCAAATTTTAATTTTTAAAATGTATTTATTTTTATTATTTTGTTTAGTTTATTTAATATATTATTATTATTACTTATATAGTTTCATAGGCTCTTTGATTTCCTTCTGCCCCTCCCCAAATGCCCACCCCCAACACTGATTTCCCCTTTGTTACTACAGAGTATAGTCCTTCATGGCCAGTCAGAAGTCCATCATTCCACTATCTAAGTGTATCCTGACATTATAGGAATGGACAATAACGGAGAGTCCCACATCCTATTGTCAGGATATAGTAAAGAGTTTCAATGGGTGTCCTTCTTTGATTTGAAAGTAGACATGCATACTGCATTGTATCTTCACATCTGGATATGATAGTCTCCATTACACAGTTACTATACATTCCCTTAAATAAAAAGCCATCAACAGCGGGAGGAAAAACAGAAAATTTACAACAACATGAAGTTAAAATAACTTGTTCAAGTTTTAATTAAAAAAAAAGTAATGCCTTAAACCATGACACCCCGCTCGTCCCTGCTACTGTCCCTCTTTCCTTTTTGTTGGATTAGTGTTACGAGTATCGTTTTCCACTGAATGTTCTTTCAGTCTGAGTGTTGGCTGGGGAAGAAGCTGGCTCTAGGTGATGAACACTGGCCCACAAGTGGGCTTCTTGTGCAGGTCCTGTTCTAATGAACTCTGTACAGCTTTAGGCAAGTCACCTGGGGTTGCCATGTTGCTGCTCAAGTTTGCCCCTCTGACACAGGGATGCAGAAACAACCTTGTTGACCTTGTGAATGTGAGAATTACTGTTGCCTGTGAGTGTCCCTCAGGACATCAGCCACTGTGCCAGTGAGAGCATGTGACTCTTAATGCAACCAGCTGGAAACAGTAGCCAGTCTGGACATCCTGCTTCTGGAGAGAGCCTTGGCTTAGCCTCCCTCTCAGCAGACTTTCTCCTTATCCAAGGCCACTTCTCTGCATAATCTCAGACACTATGGCCTTGAGCACTCAGCAGCAAGACTGTCACACCGTGGAGAAAAAGCCCCTTTGTTTAGGTTCATATACAGGAAACATGCCCTTTCCAAATGCAGAGTGCAAATTCACAGCTGTTTCTTTTTAAGCTTTTTATTTACTTATTTTCATTTTATTTAAAGGGTTAGAAAGCAAACAAAGGATTCTGTCTACTTCTTCATTCCCCAAGTGCCTGCAGCAGCTTGGGTTGGGCCAAATTAAAGCTAGGAACACAAAGTTCAAGTGCATCTCTCACCTGTGGGTAGTGGGAACCCAAATCCACCCCTCCAAGGAAGTACCTATCCTCCCACCTGCTCTGAACAGGTAGGCAGATAATGTCTGGCCCTTTTCCAGCCCTGTGGTTACTTCTCTGCTCCAGCTCAGTGGTTTGGAAGTTTTCTGTCTGTTCCTCTGCTGACTCTCAGGACCTATGTTTTCTGCGCTGTGGAAAGTGG